GATGCTTTCTTTCTCTTTGTTGACTTTCAGGGTCTCACTCAGCTTCTGGACCATCAGATTCTCAACCTCGGTGGCCATCTCCTGGTACTTTACCTGAAGGGCTTCCAGTGCCTGGTTCTGGATATTTTGGTCGGAAAGTTTGGCCTCATACTCTTGAACCATCCGCTCCTTCTCCTGGTGACTGATGAGCTGGACTTCAGCCATCTTTTCCTCCTGTACTCTCAGACGTTCCAGCAGGTGGAGGTTTTCGGACTGCATCTCTTCGTTGACTTTCAGGGTCTCACTGGTCTTCTGGCACATCGGGTTCTCAACCTCGGTGGCCATCCCCTGGTATTTTACCTGAAGGGCTTCCAGTGCCTCTTGTTTTAGGGCGATGTCTTGGTTGGTCTTTTTCTCCAGAACCTCGTACTTTCTTCGCCAGATCTCGTTGGTGACGAGTTCGTCTTTGGCGTCGGCGAGGCTCAGAGACAACTCCTCGTTCTTCTTGAAGAGATTAAGGTACTTGATGACTTGGTCGGCATGTTCGTCCTCATGCTCTTGAACCATCCGCTCCTTCTCCTGGTGACTGACGAGCTGTTCTTGGGCCATCTTTTCCTCCAGGGTCTTGATCCTCTTGTTGGCGGTCTGCAGACTCTTCTCCAGACGGGCGGTTGCCAATCTCCCATCTTTGATGACAAGGTAAAAACTGTTCTTCTCAATCTCAGCATCCGTCTTGAAGTACTCAAGGTCTTTCACAAGTTCGGTCAGACGGAAGACCTCCTCGTTGGCACGTGTGAGTGCCTGTTTCAGATGGTATGTTTTCGGTGGAGGGCCTGGGCCGCACAGAGGGGCATCAGTCCCATATCTATGTCCGTTTCCTCGATTCATTGTATGAAGAATACTTGGTACAAGAATGGACTGCTGTTTTAAAATACTTTTCGTGGTCGTGAAAGACAAATGCAACTGATAACTTATATACTATACAAGATATCAACTGCTTGCTAACTCGGCTTGAAACGCAATGAAGAGATTGGGTTCCAAGAGCTCTTTATAACACTCTATGATGATGTCAGCACTCTGATGAGGTCAACACTCCGATGAGGTCACTGAGATCAAAGCAGTTGCCATGGGAGCACCCCGTCGCCGCCCGGAAACGTTGCCATGGAAACCATTCCAGTAAAACACAACAGCACTGCTTGTCGTTGTCTGGTTCTTCTAGGATTTTTGACCGTTTGAGAGGAGAGAGGAGAGAAATCAAGGATGCTGATATTTATCATGTCTTTTACTCATACAAATGAGCATGACAAATAATATTTCCTAAAATCTTGAATGGAGGTTGAATTATAAAACAATATTTATGGTTTTCTGGATTCTGGATGATAAGAATCATCACTTTGAGCGGAAAAAAATAAAAAAACAGCAGCTTTTTTTCAATCTTAGCTCCTGAAAGCTCGTTAAATGATTCTAATGTAACGGCGAGTCACGGCCGCAGCTCCACGCGGCTCACTCGCTGGCCACATCCATACAAGGGGCAGTGGAGATGAATTGGAGGGAAGAAGTAGCAGGTAAAAAGGGGAGGGCCACGACGCGCGGCAGCTAGCCGGCCATTATGCTAGCTTGTTTGCTGCTGGGTTACCCCTCCGGTTTTTATCTCACAGCCTACACTCGTCGGGGTTCAGACTGCCTGAATAGTATCCAAACCTTTAAGGCAGGGGTCTCAAACTCAAATCAGCTGCGGGCCAGATGCAGCCCACTTCAACTGAACGCGGGCCAGACTAGCGTCCGAACGGCATGGTCACCAATAACACAACTTAACACTCACTTTCAAAAGCAGTCATTGAACCCCACCCTGGGGGATCGGTCCGAATGAGACTACAACACTAGTCCTCCTTTAACTCAGCGGGGGAGACCTAAGGTCATGTGACCGTGGAATTCCTTTATAGCCAAACGTGAAGTTACTTGAATCGAAGCTGCATAGTAATGGACGGAGACGCTCGTCGGTGACGTCAGATGCTTCATGTGTTGTTAGTGTGAGTCGTAAAGGAAAACTTTATTAAACAAGCGATGCTAACGGTTAGTCACATGATCACCTGCGCGAAAGAGGGCAGGAAACATTTCACCCTCCTGCTCTCTGCACCTCGGCCGACACACACGACCCGCCCCCATGTCAGTCACATGCATGCCACGTTCACTGGACAAGCACACAGTAGGAAACCAGAACATCATAACATGTCCCACACAGCAGCTGACAGTGGGGTTACAGTATAAAACTTGCGGGCCGCACTAACATTACACTTTCATATTAAGGATGGGGCCACAAAATATCTTCCCGAAGGCCGCAATTGGCCCGCGGGCCGCGAGTTTGAGACCCCTGCTTTACGGTCAACTTGGCTAGCAAGGCTAATACAATTAGCACCGCTGAGTCACTCGATGGAGAAGCGTCAATGGTGGATACGCCCAACAATGGTGATGACATTGGAAATGAGCACGTTTCCCAGACAGCAAACAGTCATTAAAACAATGTTAAATCAACATTGCATTGTCAACACTAAGTCATTGAATCAACGTTGAATTCTGATGTTGATTCAACATCATTTTGCACCCTGATTTAATGTTGAAACAATGTTGATATCCTGTCCATAGATCAACGGAATTTCAATGGTATTTCAATTATCAGGAATATTGAAACAATGTTGAAATTTCAACTGAACTAAGGATCAACGTTATTTCAACGGAATTTCAATCTTTTTATATGTTAATTTTAAATGCCATAAATTAAATAGCCTGCTTTATCTACAGCCAGGATGTTAAGTAGGCTAATGGAACATTTGAAATCGGCCTATAAAACAATGAACACACCACACTATTTAAACACAAATTCATTCTCTGACGGCCGCATTATTTTGTCGTCCAGTCCCTCCTCTCCGGTCTGGCGCATAGACCTTTTGCACAGCTTGGGAAAAATTGAATTGGGTGACGGCAGCTGCCCCCATCTGCCGAGTAAGAGCATCTAAAACAAAAAAATAAAATCACAATGCAAAACAATTAGCATTTAAGAAAGGGTTTTGCACTGGATTGGGGTGCGGGATAGTAACGCCATCTCGATTTGTATTACGACGAGATGGTTGGCTTTTCCAGTTACAACTCGAGACAGTTCTGCATTGAATAATAAGGTAAGTCATGTATTCTTCTGTGGGTAACGTTAACGTTAGCGCTCAAACGTGCATGACATGACTTCTGTGCCCTTGGTGGTGGCTACGTAGTGCTAATCAGCCGTGATTTCTCAAAGGTTTGAGCGCACGGCGCCGCCAACAGGCTAGCTTGATGAACGTTACCGTTAGCGCTAGATGGAGCACACTGTTATTATGGTGTTTTCCGGCGGGCAGAAGAAATAGCGGTGACTGTAAAATAGATTTCCCGACACTATTAGCAATGGGTACCGAGTGACGTGTATTTTGAGCTAGCTATAAAAATAGACTGGACTCAGAGGTTTTGCTAACTGTAAAGAGAACCACGAAGTAGGCTAGCCTGCTTTTGAAAGATTTTAACACATTAGTAAAACAAAAATCTATTTCATGACTAACGTTAGCTGCAGCACTGCGTTGGTTACTACACTAATGATTATACTACAATGATCAGTCTAACGGTATTTGATTCATTCATATCGAACATTAAGCAAGCTGACCTGTAGAAATGAGCTTGTCTCGTGCAATACGTTGGTTTACCACCCGTTGATCTCCCGGTCAACCAAAAATCAATGGATTTTCAATCATAATCCCGGTCAACTATACATCGATGCATTATCAACTATGTTTCAACACATTCAGGGATTGCACTTTCAATCATAAAGATAACTATAGATCAATGTTGTTCCAATATTGTTTCCATCAAAATAACATCAGGTTTTCATCGATATGGTAATGGTGATTCAACGTTTATTTTGCATTGAAATTTCAATATCAACCATAATGATGATTTAGATGGAAAAACAATGTTTATTCAATGTTGGATTGCTGTCTGGGTTTAGGTTCACAGAGAGTCAAAACAGTCAGCTGTGCACAGCTTTAAACAACACAGGCCTAAAAAGTGCTTAAGACAGAGCTCAGATGAGTTTTAAGTGGTCAGTCAAGGTTGAGAGGTTAGGCCCCCTCGAGCTCTCCAGAGGTCGTGGACTCAAGAGAAGCAGCCACTTTGACCTGTGACCTTTCGAGACGCGGCCAGAGGTTCAGATTTTGAGGAGTGAGAGTTGCTCTGCGTCGGCTTACCGCACTTTGTCAGAGCACAAGTCGTTGCTAAGATCTGTGTGTGTGTGTGTGTGTGTCTGTGTGTTTGTGCCTGCGTACTCACTATCACTGCAACAGCACAAGATCATCCCATATTTTGAGAGCAGTTGGTTATAATGAAACAATGCGGCGCTGTTACATCAACAGTCCGTCCTTGTCCGTCAAACAAAGCTGACTCTAATTTGACGTATTACAAAAATGGCGTTCAGATGCCTTGTCGTCATTTTCTGACATTTCAACTTATACTATTAATTTAGTTTTCACTCCTCAGCTATGATAAGAACCAGCAGCCATCTATTTCCACACCACAAACCATAAATTACAGCCTGATCAATGGAGGGGCGCTTTCAGAAAGTGAGGGAAGGGCAATAGATCAGTGGTCCCCAACCACCGGGCTGCGGACCGGTACCGTTTGGTACCGGGCCGCACCACAGAAAGCTTATATATATATATTTTTTTTCTGAAAAATGTTTCATTTTGAAAATTGACTGGATTTTCTCCTAATTCCCTCCCCCCCCCCCCCCCCGTCCCTCTGACATATTCCCCACACGTCACCAGGCGTTTTTCTTGTCCTTGTATCGTGCACGGCAGTTTCGCCGACCAGCAAACACAGAGCGCACGACTACTACCCCCCGTCGGTCGTTCCGCCAACCCCCCCCCGTCGGACCTTCTCGACCGGGCCGCGAAATATTGTCTGACATAAAACCGGTCCGTGAGGTAAAAAAGGTTGGGGACCACTGGAATAGATGACACAAGAGATACGGTTTATTAAAGAGCAGCAGGGAGAAGGTGGAGTTTGAAGTTATCCAGTCGGGGGAGGCCCCTGAGCCATTACAGTAGGTTATTATACCGCAGTCAAAGTGTTAAATAGACCAGTAACCTGCTCCTTGGCGGCTTTTATTGAAGCCAAGTGTAGTAAATAAATACATTAGGTTTGCAGCTACACAAGTGATGAGTCACTTTGCCGGTTGGGAGGGTTTTCAAAGCTGTCTTTGACTTTATGTTGAGGACAGTGTGGACATTTTTAGTTGTGGTATAATAGTAAAATAATACCGTATTTAAAGTGGATGAAAATCCTCCAACTGTGAGCGACTATGTAAAGATTCAGATCAGTAGCCACAAAAAAATCTGCTGAAAGTTGGATAGGAAACCGACATGCGGCAAACTACGCTCTCTGTTGAGGTAACACACTTCACAAAAGATGAGCGGAATATTTCTGCATTGCTGCGTATTCGCTCTGTGCATCGTGGACCCACCTGGGAGGCTGACAAAACCGCACTACAAACACCGATTGCTGTCAGCGCGCTCAGAATGAAAGGGGGACACATCAAAATACAAACGCTGCACGTACCAAATGTTTGGTACGCACCAGATCTCGATTGTCAACTACAGGTTGAGATCTTCACTGCAGTTATGCAACCAAACCCCAAAATCTAAATTATTCCGTTCATAGACACACCATTGACCGCTTAATCCTTAAAGGCACCGATTTAGTAAGATTACCCAGATTCATTATTCAGCTGTACTTTTGTCATTAAGAAACGTACATGTTCACATTATTCAAAAAGAAATTATTCCCAGTGTGTATATGTGCTTCACTAGATTTCATCAGTTAGAAAATTGTGTGGTTCATGGTCAAGACCTGGGCTTAACGGTCCCGTCCTACAAGAAGTACTCCTGGTTTGTCAAACTCACCAACAGTGCATCCAATCAGCAAAAAGTAGCATAGATTCCTAAAGCAGTGCACATAATTTCAGGTCACATACTTGAGATTTAGAGAAAAGACTAAACTCCTAATGTTGAGAAAGTTTTATACAAAATCAGCCGCACACAGTCATTTCTTCTCAGAACTCTCCTGAACCCTCTTCTAGAAGCGGCTCGCGATGGTCTTTTTCCTGCTTTGAGCCACAGCAGAGCAGGCCTCTTGTTTTTTCACCGCAGGGATCCTTTCTGGGCGCCAGCAGATAATCGTACAGAAGCGCTGCCACCACACCGGCACACATTGGTACGGCCCAGTACACCTGAAACCAGACACACACACATCCACGCTTCAACGGGGTCGCAGAACTTGTGTCAACCCAGTGCTACGGACAATCCCACCGCCAGAGGTGCAAATCCGCCGACGTCACGTCTCTGGTCGGTGACCGCGAGCACACACAGGACCAACTGAAGGGTGAGCAGGAATTCCACACCAAAACCTTGGCCTGGGCCTACACCGTTTAGCTGCAATACAGGACAGACATACATATTTTCCCCCGCTTTCTTGCATAATAACAAAAAAGCAAAAAAGCAATTCAACAGTGCCTGTTCAGTCCATTACAGCAGATAAGGCTTTTATCCCATAATCACTACAGTGAGAGAAGAACTGCCTTTGTTGCATGCCAGCTACGCAATTAAACAAAGTATCACTTGCAGTTCTAAAATGGGTAACGCTTCGAAAACAAAACTGGACGATCTTTTATCCCATAATCACTACAGTGAGTGAAGAACTGCCTTTGTTGCATGCCAGCTACGCAATTAAACAAAAGTATCACCTGCAGTTGGTCAACCGTCCAAAACTGGACGGTTGACCAAAGTTGACACTTCCTAGGAAATCTACATCAGGCTGGAGGCAAATTCGCCAAATGCCTCTCAATTTGATAAACACATGTCCTCCATTAAGCAAAGCGCTAGTCGGGGAAAGTGGAAACGCGTGCGTTCATCCTTACCTTGTTAACACCGAGGGAATGTGTTGTTTCTGGCCTGGTGCCGTACACAATGACACTGCCAGCCACTGCTCCCACCACCTGAGCGCTCATGTAGACAAGGGCTCTGAGCGGACTGATCTTGCAGCTGACCAAGAGGCCCAGCGTGATGGCGGGATTCAGGTGGGCAGCGCTGACGTGTCCCAGGCACTGCGCCAACGTGGCAACGGCCAAGCCGAAGGCCAACGCCACTTTTATCTCCTGGTCGGGGTAGGAGTTATTGCGGTCCCCTATTGCGGCCGAGAGGCCGATGAAGACGAAGACGAAGACGATCGTCCCCAGACACTCTGCCAGGACCGCCCTCCAAAATCCCCACGCTTTGATTTCCGACATGACCGCTCAGTTGAATCATGACTTCATGGCGGCGGCGGCGAACGGATTCTGGAGCGTCAGTGACGCGCGGAACTTCTGGCACAAGCTGAGATCTGGTCCCGCCAGCGGCCCAATAGAAAACGTGGCGAGCCGCGTTAACCAGCGTTCGTTGTGCATGAAGGCGTAAAAAAATCAAGGCCTGATTGGAAGCAGCTGAGATTCACCAAGCGACAATGACCTCCAATGTCTCCCACTGTGTCCGGCACTTCTTCATTCAAACAGACGGCTTTTAATCTTATTCACACTTCCTTAGACTGCACCCAAGTGTTACTTTGAGAAAAGAAGTGGCGACTGAATGATGAAGATGATGTTAAATTATCAACTTGCTTTTTTTTAAATGGGCAATTTACGAAATAACACAAGCAGCACTCGGCACCTGGCGTTCAAAATTCAATCCATGCTTGAGTCATCTGCTCATTTGCATTTTTATTCTTATTCCTTAACGTGAAATTGAAAATAGACTCCTTGTGTAAAAGGCACCTTGTCGTTTCCTGGTTTAACTCCATCCTGCTTAACACGTGTGGTGAATGTGTGAACGACATCAGTCAGATGTGGGAAGGACACTTGTTGGCCATTACTTGTTGCAAGTGTTTGTGAACCATCTTGTTCTATTCTCAGCTGGCGTCACGCAGGGCCGGCTGCATTGAAGTTAACATCAGTCATGTGCCGCTGTGAAGGAAACGGGACCTTTTTGAGTTTTCAACGAGGAAACCAGCCTCCCATTCTCCTTTTTCTGTGTGAACGGACTGAGAGGTCAAAGGGTCACGCTGCTTCTTGTCTGCTTTTCAGTAAAATGAGAAAAGGGAAGACGGGAAAAGCAACAAAAAAAGCAGCTCATCTTTTCTCTTTAAAAGAACGTGTTGCGAAACATCTCTTAACTTAAACTCAGTCATTTCTTTTCATTCTTAAATCAAATAAAAAAACCACACAACGGATATGTTTCAATTGTTACTAAATGTCATATTTGAAATATAGATGCCTGAGATTAGAGATGATAACATCAAGGAGAGGAGCCATTCATCCAGCAGGATGGAGGAGGTGTGTAGTAATATACAGGACCTAATAAAGTAAATGCCAGAGATAAGTGGAGGAAGGACAAAGGCCACACATTCAAACTACGTGAGAAGCAGCAGCTCGACTGGCCGGCAAAGTCTCCTGTCAATACATTTTATTTGTTAAAAAAGACGTCTTTACTCCTTTGGTACATTCTAGAAAGAAATCTATATATGTATGCTCAAAATAAATATCATGAAAAAATCTATTCAAAAAGAATATTCAAAACAAATATTCACAAAAAAATATATAACAATATTTAGAATGAGGGTGTCAGGCTTAACTCGTTTAAAAAAGATCACGCCCACAAATGAGATCAACCTTCAGCTCTGAGCTAATCTTTGCATGTGAATTTAAAGACCTACACATTTACACATTTGTCTCACTCTTATGTGCATAATTTTGCTCCCACACGATTAGAACATCTGCTTGTTATCTTCCCTGAAACACGTTGGTCTATAAATAATGAATTCAATAATTTTGCTCATGCTATTTGGGAATGCAGACCACCGCGTACTGATTTCTTATCAGATAAATTAAAGACTGTCTGACTGGGCAGGTCTTCTGACTTGGTTCACTGGAAGACACCCAAAAGCACATGTTTGCCGCCCTGGAGCTCTCCTAAGGGTTAATTTAGCATGAATCTGGATGAAAATGTATTTTGTCATCTGGAAATATTCTGAGACTCCAGATGTTTTCTTCAAAAAGTATTTCAATCACAAGATATAACTCACACTAACAGTAATGTCGTTTATGTCATTTTTTTCTTTGAAAAATAAATAAGGCAGAAAATAACAAGGCAGAAACGTGCGTTTGCCACATATGTTGATTCCCGCTAAAAACATTTAAAAAGTTGTCTTTTGAGGGAACCAACGGGATAATAAGATGAAGTGAGTGTTAGTCTGCCTTCAGTAAGGTTTATTTTGACTGCTTGATGGTGAAAAAATCAAATCTCTAACACCAGATTTTGTTCCTACGTGAAAACAAGAAAGCGCACACAGTAACAGCTGTTAACAACAAGTGTTTTATTTATTTAAAAAACAGAGAGACCATTCAAGAGTGCACACACAAAACATTATCCATCAGAAATATATAAAAGTTACACAGACGCAAAGGGTGTACAAAAGGAAACTGGCTCGTCATTAGAATACTGATATGGGACAAACATTTCTACCCACCGCTCTGTCAACATGCCGACATCCTCAACTTCTGAGTTTGGGGTTTGACGGAGTTCTACCTCAGAGAGACACTAAGTGGCTCGTTGCAACAATCCTCGATAGTAATTCAAAATAGCACAAAAACACTGAGATCCTACACCCAATATGAGAGCTTTGTTTTTTTTTTCCACAGGAGCATAAACATGTGCAGAGAGAAAGTGCACGGGACTATTTCGACGTCATCTCCACGGTCGCGTTGTCGGTGCCTCCGTTGACGTCGTAGTTGCCCGCCGGGCCGCTGACCAGGACCTTCATGCGCTCGGGGAAGTCGTCATATTTGGGGAACAGCAGGAAATCGTAAATGAGAGCCGCTGCCAGACCACCGCACATCGGCCCCACCCAGTACACCTGCAGCGGAGAGCGTTAGATCAGCCTCTGTGGCGGCATCGCGTTAATCTATCCATCGTCGTTATCACAGGTAAGACAAGATAATCAAGTTCAAAGGGTTGTGCTGCCCGTGTTTGCCGAGCTAACTGTGAAGCAACAGGGTGTCTATCACTGATTAACTGGGGGGAGCGGAGGATTCCTCAGTAATGGGCTCATCTGCCTGTCGTGGGAATTCAATTATTGAAGCTCAACATGTAACATGCACGCAGACACATGTCAGGCGCGCGTAATGAGCTTTCGTTCGTCCGTCTCAGACTCACCCAGTGGTTCGTGAAATCGCTCAGGATCAAAGCCGGACCGAAGGAGCGAGCGGGGTTGATGCCGCAGCCCGTGTAGCTGATCTGTTATGAACCACAAAAAGAGACGGCGTGAGGTCAGCTGCATGGTCTGCTGGAGTGATGGGGTCAGGGGTCAGGGGCTATCAGCTGAAAACGTTAAGAATGCATGAAACCGTTCCGCCGCCCCGGCTGCGTTGTATCTGGTGCTTGTGTACGTTGCACAAACGCCGTGTGCACAGGCCCAGATAAACGTCACACTGCGCTGGAAATGGCTTTACGGGGAAAACTCACAGCTGCCAAGTGTCCCAGGCAGACCGAGAGGCCAATGGCCAAGGGTGCTGAGCCGGTGACATCACGCCTTCTTTTATCAGTGACTGCAATGACACACAGCACCAGCTGGAAGGTTGCCAGAAGCTCAATGCCCACGCCTTGACTGGGAGTGACACCGTTGAGCTGCGAGAGAGGAATACAAAAACAACAAGAGTTTGTCAGTCTGTGTCAGTTAGATTGATGGTTTCCCAACGCCAGCGCTTCTGTTTAGCAAATAGAAGCCTGACGACACTGAAAACTGCCACATCGCCTTATTTTCTCTTCATGCCCAAACAATTTAGCTGTGTTACACCATGTGTTTCTCCACAGTGACATCATGCCTTGAAACCCCCAGCGTTTTTTTATAAGAAGACAGCTATTATATGATATTGCAGACAGGTCAAAGAGAAATGAAGAAACAACAACAACAACAACTATTAACCAACTAATTCACCAGAATCGCGATAGTTTCATTGCAGATTCAGTTTGGTGTCTCATCGCTGTTCAATAATACAAAAGGACCAAGGAACATCACAGACAGTGACACACATCCTCAGCAATAACATAAAAAAAGATATACTTACAGCGTTGAGCCCCAGCGCGTCAGTGGTGCTTGGACGGGCCCCATACACGATGCCGCTGGCCAGAGCTGAGCCCAGCATCTGGGCCACGACGTACATGACCGCCTTGAACAAGCTGATCTGGCAGCTGGCCAGCATCCCGAAGGTGACCGCGGGGTTCAGGTGGGCTCCGCTGATGTGACCCAAACTCTGAGCCAGCGTGGCGATGGCCAACCCGAAGGTCAGCGACACCTTCACCTCCTGGTCCGGGCTGCTGTTGTTCTTGTTGCCGATGGCCGCCGAGATGCTGAGGTAAATGAAGAGGGTCATTCCGACCAGTTCGGCCAGAACGGCCCTCCAAAAGTTTTTGCTCATGAACTCTCTCATGGTGGTGGCGGTGTGGCTTCGGTCGCTGGAGCTCTGTAACGCCTGTGTACTCACAAACAACAGCGGCAGTCTCCATATATAGGGCCTCTCCGCTGATAATGGTCAGTGGGCGGGCTTTTAAAAAGCTGAAAGAGGGCCACACTGAATTAATGAGAAAACCAAAAGTCTGGTGCTCCCGTTTCCCTCCCTCTTCTCCAGCACCCTCCCTCCTCTTTTGCATGTCCTGCAGCCCTCTCCCTGCACCTCCCCGTGCACCACACTCTGGTCTTTGGACTGTGTGAGTGAGAGACCCGGGTCCTCAAATAGCTCATATCTAAAGGTAACGTTCACACTCGGTTTTACTCTGTAAAGGTTTTAAATGACTTTTGCTTTAAAATGACAAAAGTGTGAAACGTTGAACAAATTGTGTGGTTTGCTTTTGTGGACTTTATCATTAGTCCCTCAAAGCACACATGGGGAGAGTGAAAGCGAATGCGAGGACACTCCCAACACGTTGAGAGACAGTTTTAAAGAAATAGAGAGAAACAAAAAAAAATTTGAGAGAAAAACAAAACAAAACAGAATGTCCTTATTGACAATATAAACTTTCAAAAACAAGCCAGGGGACAGCAGGAGACTTAATAAAGAATCTTTAATATTCACCACGTCAATAAATCATGAAATGCGAATCGAATTAAAAACCGGAAACATTCCTAATGATGGAGCAACTATAACTTATTAACTAAACGGATGTTTGCCCAATAATTATTTGAAAAATAATTGGCGCAGGGTAAAACATCAACTTTGAGAACTGAGCAGCCTGCTGCACCCGGCCCCCAATTCAAGTGGGTGTGAAAAACAAACAGCAACCAGAACAATGCAAAACCTGTGAGGAAAATACTTTGCCGCTACTCTGGATGTCTGCAAGTCTCTCAGCGACGGTTCAAGAAGCTCTTTTTTAACGTGCGATTCAATTCAAATAGGAATTATTTAGCTGTGGCAGCAAAACGCACCATTTCCATTGCAAGTACAACATTCTGAAACCTACGGGATTTAAAGTATATCACATATTTTGATTAATTCCGTCATTGCATCACAGGGTGTCTAATCAACACTCACTTAATTTTCAGTGAGGTTGTAAAAAGAGAACCCTCCTGTATTAAAACATCTGTTGACTGTTGACTTTTCATGCCGCATCCAGGGGCAGATGAGGGCCAGATGAGGGGCTGAGTACCTTTTAATTATAAACCATCACCATTATGAGCTAAAAGGAACTTAAAGGAACCATTCTCACGAACAATAAAAACTTCACTTTTGAAAGTTGCCTTTGCGGTGCAGAAGATGAACATCAACCACCAGCAGGCGCGGCCTGTTAAGATAACAAGGGAGGGTCCAAACATCCCAAAACTTTGCACATCTGTTACAGTGAGTAATTTGACAAATAGTTCACGGTCAGCCGTATGATTGCTGTATCATCATCTTATCAGACGTCCAGAGAAACGCAGCTTATGCGTCTTCTCCACATTCGACGGCGCCACCTGTGAGCCGCTCCCGCGCCGCAAATGGAGGAGTGAATTCCCGACGCGTGAACGCACTGTGCAGTTCTGTGTAAGGAATTTATGTATGAGTCAAAATGAATATCATGAACTCCTACAGCAAATGGAACCGGCCACTGAGGCAGCAGCAGAATGTACATCTCATGTGGAGGTCAAGGTCACCACGGGTGGGAGTTTTGACAGGTATCGAGGTTGAAAAGGTGACGCGTACCATGCACAGGGGTCACTGGCGTCACGCTCCAATAATCAAACCACGCAGCATGCGGATTGCACCATCAGCCGTGGATAGTAGTCGCACCAATAACACAAGTTTGTGGATTGTTTCCAGAGCTTTGCTGTTTAATGCAATGGATCTCCGAAATACACCATGTAGCAGGACACCACTTCATTTCCAATTCCTGCACGCATTGTAACAATATCAATATCCTTGCACTATTAAAACATATTAAAGATAGACAATCTAAACTCACTGAATGACGGACTTCTGGTTCGGGACATTCCAAACATTCGGATCTGCGTTCAGGACATTTTTCATGGCTGTAGTTGTCAAGTCACAAGAAAAAACTGAGGTGTGATCCAGCAAAAGCTCGACGGGTTGGCTTGGACAGCTCGTCCCTGTTGGGTCTGCAATCCAACCACGTACGTCCTGCCAGTGTTTGTCTGGAAAACTGCGGGTCGGTTGAGCGGCATGGACAATGCCGAAGGCCAGTGACCCATGAAACCGCCTGTGGCCGTCAGGAACTCATTTTACTAATTGCTCAAATTTATCTAATTACAGATTGCTCACAAGGTATTTTTGTGCCCAAAGGAAACAAATGCTGCACATTGTCGCTTGCATCAGATCCTTATGGATCATTAAAATTGTTGTCAAAGGCTACAATAACTAAAATGATACTGTTTGGTTGACGAGGTTGATAAATGGTTCCTCCACAGATGTTTTCTTTAAGAGAAGTTGTTCTTCTGCCACCGACAAAGAGAGCAATGAAGCCACAAGAGAACACCCAAATGCACAACCCGGCACCCTCTGCACACATTCTGAATTCATCCTTGGTGAACAGCTTCATAGCAAATCACAGTCATGAGACAGCTGGTGCAGCAAGCACGGGTCAGCGCGCCGCTGAGCAACCTGGACCATCTGACAAAAAGATTCTCATTGTTGTTCAAACAGAAGGAACATAAACTCTGCGTGTCACATTCGTGGGATGTTCCTAAACTCGTACCTTAGATCTTAGGCAGATTTGGTCGGAAAGGTTATTTATAACATCCCTGAAAGGTTTGTTTGTTTGGCACGAAATAGCCAAACCGTCACGTTTGCTCAGGATAGGAAACACTAGAAGGCCCACGGTCCCTGTAATGGTCTCTGGCTTATCTGACTTCCTCAGTGGGAGAGTAATTAGTGAGTTAGAAGGTGAAACTGTTTATTTTTTTTTGCTACAGCCATCGTAGGATATCCTCTTATTCTGCACGCGCCTGTGACCGGAGGACCGAAGTCCAATTGCATGCCCTTCCACGCCGCTGCTGATCGATTGTGGCGGAACTTGAGCATGTGAAATCCTTCAGGCAGTTCAGGCATCTGCAGCTCGTCCTTGAAATTGATTTTTTTTTGTTTGTTGCTGTAATGGTTATGTGAATGTAACAATGACGACAATGAACCGTAACCACCGCGTAATCTCTCCTGTATTTTGGCGCCCACCGATTTTTTCCTTTACGATAGTTGCAACAGCACGGACGTGTCTTATCTGCGGTGGGTTCATATAACTTTAAACATTAACCAATTAGTCTTTTAGAGGAATTTTTTAACCCCCCCCCCCCCTTCCCCAGACGAAATGCAGCTTCCTCCCTTCTGACTGCGGTTGAATTGTGGATTTATTCAAGTTGTAACCGACGCTTTTCGGTTGGTCAGAACTGAAACGATGTGTATTCAAGCAGCTTCTGCAACCTGGCGGCTGGTCTGATGCTTACACGCGTCCCTCTGAAGCGATTCATAGTCCCACACGCGTTCTCTTGGGACCGGCAGACTCACAAACACGCACACGGGGATTCTTTATTCAGTTCAGCTCAATTGTTGCGTGTGTCCGCTGGCTCTTTGCCGATTTTATTGCCATTGTAAAAGCTCTTGCCTGAGTCCCCCAAACCTCAACACAACGCATACAATACAAACCCACGTGTGAAAGGCTTAGTTAGAGGTCTGCGATGCCATGACAACACAGCCATCATTATAGACTTCTTTAGAGGAGGCCTTTATGACCAACCACAAAACCGTGACATGAGAGAAGGATCAATGGATCCGTCTGAAGATTTGATTCGTTGAAATGACACAAAATCTGCTCTCAACTAAAATCATTAGTCACAGGATCATTTTACGTACAGTGCAGTGGTCTCTGAATAAAACCTTTTTCTTTTTTCTAGACTAGACTTTGTCGGGCTTCCACCGCCGACTGCCGGGCTGGAAGCTCTGGGACAACGACTTTTTTTATGTTTGTAAAACTGGAATTGTGGTGTGCACACTGTAAAGGACAGACTTTGTGCCCTCATCTCTGATTTAAGGTGTAATGGCATAGTTTAAATTGTAAATGAAGTCGGCTCAGTGACGATGAACACATTTTGCACAGCGACGTGTGTTATCACTGTTCATGCAGCTTGTACGTGATTTTTTACTCTTGACAGAGAATCTGTTCGCCTCTTGTTGACTTTTCTGGTCAGCAAGAAAGGGTCCTTTCCTGCACATACATGTATATGTATTTACGCGCCGCAAGCGTTGAGTGGGTTTTGAGGTATGTGTGGTCGTTCGATCAACTCATTCTCCTCGTCACTCGACACGTGTTTGTAGCACAATGAGAAGCCCAGAGTGTCAAAGCTGTGACACGTGTAAGTTTCAAACTAGCCTAAAAAACAACTTAGCTTAGAATAATAACTTGGTTAAACATAAACCCCGTGACATGGACACAGAAAAAGGACGACTTCCAAGAAACTCATCGACACACATGGGACACAAACGCCGGCGTCAAACACATGTGTTTTCTTTAACTACCGACATCCTGTTGTTCGCGTCCCATAAAGACGTAAAAGGTTGCCTTCTGCGTCACCGTCGGAGGCCGAGAGGACCAACAAAGCGTTTGCATTTGCCGCCCTGGGAATAAAGACGGGTCTCCGGCCCGGGCCAGATGGCCACGGTGGAAGCCGAGACGTCCACCGCAAGACTGAGAAGGAAACAGGGTGTGAACTTCACAATGAGCTGCTACAAAAGGCAGAAGTAGAATGTGTTGCTCCGGAAATACACAGAGATCCACGACTGATTCCAGCCTCTTGTCAGCAGCGGGTTAGTGTGCGAACACTGATGCGCTGAACTCGTAAAATCTTTTTCATGCTTTTTCTGTCATGGAGGGATGTAAGTTAGCTTTGATTAAGATATCCAGATACTCTGAGCCAGCGATTCCCAAGTGTGGGCCGCACTGCAGGTGGGCCGCGAGAGGTCATTTAATAAAACACATTTTTTTTTAAATTAAACAATAAATAAATAAAATGTTTT